TGGAGGAGTCAGTGGCTACACAAACCTGTAATAACCTCAAATCGAATTTGGAAAGCCCAATTCTTATTGCAAGTTTGTTACTGTAAGTTTTAATAGATGCAGAGATAACATGATATTCAATTTAAGGTTCTTATATATTTTAGATTATGCCTCTGCGAATGAATGTTTTATCTTAAGTTTGGAATTTGAGATGGGTTTGGCATTTGTTTGATTGATTTTGCTGTGCAACCTGTGCTCTTAAAGATTTATGTGGGAATTGTGTAGGGGATTTCTGTGGACCAAAGCGCTTTGATTGATTTTGCTGGCCATCTTTACGGTCGCTTGGATCTCTTCACCTTCCTAACCATTGCCACAGCCACGGTGACTAGAAAAAGCCAAACCCAAAAACCCCCCTAAAATATGTCAAACGTGGTGGTTCTCGACAACGGCGCTGGCCTAATAAAGGCTGGAATCGGCGGCGAATGTGACCCAACTGCCATAGTCCCCAACTGCATGTGCCGCCCACTCTCCTCCAAAAAATGGCTACTAGTCGACCAACTCCTCTCCCCCACCGAAGACCTCAACTCCGCCACTCTCTGCCGCCCCTTCGACCGCGGCTACCTCATAAACCCAGACCTCCAAACCTCTCTCTGGTCCCACATCTTTACCAATCTCCTCCACATCACTCCATCTCAGTCCTCTCTCCTCTTAACTGAACCCCTCTTCAACCTACCCTCTATACAAAGATCAATAGATGAGATTGTTTTTGAAGAGTTCAATTTCAATTCACTGTTTGTCACTGATCCACCAGCTTTAGTCCACCTTTATGAGGCCTCAAGAAGGCCTTATGGGTTGGTGTCAAAAACTCAGTGTAGTCTTGTGGTGGACTGTGGGTTTTCTTTTACCCATGCAGTTCCCGTGTTTCAGAACTTCACTATGAACTTTGCCGTGAAAAGATTGGATTTGGGTGGGAAGGCATTGACCAATTACTTGAAGGAGCTGGTGAGTTATAGGGCTGTGAATGTTATGGATGAGACTTTTATTATGGATGATGTTAAGGAGAAGTTGTGCATTGTCTCGCTTGATGTCGCGCGGGATTTGCAAATTGCAAGGTATTAGTATCAGAATTTGAACTTGGTTTTGGCTGATTTATGTGTTGTTTCAGTTTAATAAAATGCTTTTTTTGGTTGGTTTGCAGTGTTGTGTTCATGCATTGGTTAGCTTTTTTGCCCGAGTTCTTTTAGTTCTCTTGAGTAATAAGCTTAATTTATAAGTTGGTTTTTTCTCTGCTTACTAGTGTAACAAGTGAAATGAATTTATAATTTGTGGATTGTGTAATGAAATGTCTGTACACATTTTATAATTAAATGCTATGATGTTAGGAGTGATATAATGAGAGGATTCTACAATGAAATGATGCTAAGAAATGGTTGTTTGTTATGAAGATTGTTGAACAAATGTTATAGTATGAATCATTTATTCTTACATTGTCCTCTAGCACTCTCACTATGGAACAATCTATTGAGCTGTATGGGTCATTGTTGGGTGGCACTTAGAACTATGTTTTCTATGGTTGGTATCATGGTACGGAAGTGTGAGTGGCGACTCAAACCTTATATAACTCCGTTCCGACTCCACCTTGCGAAGGCGAAATGGAGCTTTGCAGATTGCTTCCCTTGTTCTACCATTAGTTTTCTGCCGTAACTTTGCCTTCTTCGTTGCAAATCAACTATAAATTCACTGTAGATTTCGTTAATTTGTTTCTCCCTTCTTCTACTCCTCTATCCCTTATCCTACTGAAAAAAAAGCACAAACATAGTACAATTTGCAGATAAACCGTCACCACCAACACATCTCCGTTGCTCGAAGAAGAAACAAATCTAAAAAAGGACCTCAAAAATCGTAGAAGAATCAAAGAAACTCCAACACCCAAAACCAATTTCTAAAGGATCATCGAAAATCCAAAGAAATCCACATGTAAATCATCGTCCCTACCTAGAATCCAAGAAACAAATTTGAATAAGAACAGTGTTAAGAAAAATTCACAAACAATGTTCAAATAAAAACCCATAAACAATGGCACTCGAAGTGAGAGAAAAGAGAAGGAATCATGGAGATAAGTTCCGATTGAGCGTTGAGGGATAGACGATGACGGATCTGAACTTAGATTGATGGCTATGGTTGGATTCACAACGAGATAGGGCTTTAGAGGCAGTCGAAGCTGACTATCCCATCCAGGACGAGTCTATGAGGAACGTTGGATCTACGCTTAGTGAATCTCAGCCATCCTTGTTGTTGGTGGAGACTGGAGCAATAGGTTTTCCTCATTTGGTTCTTTTCGGTCAGAGTTGAGATAGAGAGGGAAAATAAAATTGAGGTGGGGCTTAGGGATTGGCAAGAGTTGGATTCGGACTGTTAATATGACTAACTCACCATTTATTTACAATAAGCTGCCATTTTGTTTTTTATATGTAAGATAAATAATTTCAGACTATAATGAGAAGTTTGATCTGACTTTCCCTCTAATAAAATGCATGATTAGTAATCACATTGTTAGCATCCTTTATTTTAAATTTGATACTATGATTCTATGGCTTAAACACTAAGCAAAGTGTATTCTAATTAATTGTTTTGTCTCAAAAGCAAGAATCTTATATTAATTTTTATAAAATTATTAATTAATAAAATTCAGAGTCGGAGTTAGAGTTTTGTCGGAAAAGATTTCAAATTTTGACTCTGACTCTGATCCGAGGCGGAGTCAAACCGGAATCAGAGTTGGAGTCGGTGTTGGCTTTGTGGATAGTTTCACACTCCTAAGTGGGGGTGGAAATAGAAGATGAGAGATTCCTTGGATTTACGCTTGTTTTGCTATTGTTTAGGTTATTTGGTTGGAAAGGAATGTGAGAATTTTTTATGACAAATGTGAGGAGGTCGATGGTCTATGAGATTGCTTCCTTTTGGGAACATTGTCTAAAGAGTTTGAGAATTTTCCTCTTTTTTGCATCATCTCGAATTGAAGAGATTCATGTGGAATAGTTTTTGGTTTTTCGTTGTATTTACTTTGTTTCAACTTGTCTTTTTTTTTTTTTAAAGAAATCAAGAATTTTTATTCCATAACCCAAAATTTACAATCAAAGAAAAAGCAGACATTCCTGCCTTTACAATTCGCTTTTACCAAAATACCAAGAAAATCAAGAAAATACAATTTTCTTTCTAAAGTATTTGTGCCTATTTTTATCAAGCAGCAACAATCTCCTGGCTGGATGAGGAATTTCCGAAGCCGCAGAGAACTCCATAGAACATCCACACTGCACAGCCCAATTTGCAAAAAAATCAGCTGCTGAATTTCCTTCTCTGTACACATGTGTCAACTGAAAATTTAATCTTCCCAAAATCTCCTTAATCTGCCTCATCAACTCCCAATATTTCCAAGCACGTAAATGCCCCTTCATTACCACATTAACCATAATTTCAGAATCCGCCTCCACTTGTATTCGGTACCCCAACAAATCATATTTTTCAACAAGACATAAACCATCTTTTAGAGCCCTTAATTCTGCTTCCATATTAGAACAGTTTCCATAAAGAAAAGATCCTGCAATCACCAAATCACCCCATTGATTTCGAATCACTGCACCACCACCAGCACATCCCGGATTCCCTTTCGAGGCTCCATCCACGTTTAATTTCAAACATCCCTCCATTGGGCAGGACCAATTAACCCATATTGCTTTTATTTCAATTTTTCCACATCTTGTAACTCCCAATTCCTGCAACATTTTCTTTCCATGTATGCTGTCAGGAATTTTCGGCCGAATTCCATAAGCTTGTAGCTTAACAATGTTGCAGGTATTCTTGAAAATAGAAAAAGCAGACAAACATCCTTCTCCATAAACTCTTCTACATCTCTCTCTCCATAATAACCAAAACACAACCAAAGCCACACTCCTAACTAGGATATGACTAAGAGACTGTTTTTTAAAAATTCTTACTAATCTCATTAATCTTCCCATAGGACCTTCATTCTCAATCAAATTAAATCCAAAAAAACCAGCCAAGTGTTGCCATACCTGTGCAGCAAAGTCACATCGAATAAACACATGAGCTCCACTTTCCATTGCTTTATAACATAGCGAACACCTACTAGCTAACTTCACCCCCAATTTCTGAAACCTAACATCCAAAGCCACTGCACTTTTGTTAATTTTCCAGCAAAACAACTTAGCACTAGGTGGAGCAGCCTGAACCCATATCGCCTTAGCCACCAATTCTTCATTTCCAGCCTGTCTTGCCAAATGCCAAGCTGATTTCACCGAAAACTGCCCAGAATCATTCAATTCCCATACCAGAAAATCAGTACTATCAGATAGAGTAATTCTCGAATTCTTAATCTCTTCTTTCATTCCATCATCTACTAAACCACCCAACATCTGCCACTGCCAAACATTTTCTTTATAAACTTCTGCAACTCTTGGAAAATTTTGAGGCATTACCCCAACTCTATTCAACAACGGCCCAGATTTAAGCCAATTAGAACACTCAACTTGTCTTTGGGTTGGACGTCTTGTCCACCTTTGAATTGTTTTAATTGTAATACTTTTTTACTTTAAAAATTAATGTTATCATCGTTTCCTATTGAAAAAAAGAAATCATATTAGACTTCTGCATTTGAACATTTCCTCCTACCAGTATATCAAAATTTTGCCACTTACTAAAAATTGAATTATTCAATGAAAACTAGTGCTCTTGCTGAATATTATCTCTATATAGTTGGGATAATTTTAAATCCTAAGCCTTTTAGGGATTGGTTCAAATGGAAATTATGGAACAAGTTGACAATAAAGGCTTTAAAAAAAATGAATTCACTTTATTCTATGTTTGGTTGTTTCACAGCAGCACGGACCAAAAGAGGAATTCCTATATTTATAGGTTTTTCATTATTTGGGATCTGAGAAAGCAAAAGGCTCCAGTTAACTGATAATTGTATCGATGTAGTTTAATGTCGTGTTTGCTGATATAACATGAAGGGTAGTTATATGCTTGTGGGAATTGAATATCTCAAGGCTGTGAGGGTGACTTATTTCCCCTTTCGAAGAGAAACCAGGTACAAACTTACAACGTAACGAGCATATGTAATTAGTTAGCAATTTTTCAATTCCATTGGTTGTTGGGTTCCATAAACTCCAAGAAAATTTCTAGTGTGAATGGTAAACTGGTGGAACATAAGAAAACAAGCATTAAGAACCAAAGAGAGTCAATTCCTTTTGAACATATGTCTTGAAGGGACGTCATGTTACTATGGGGGATGAATTTATGTGAAAACATGATTCAGGACAGATTTTGAAGTTGAAGCTCGGGGCTTGGGAAAGCATGAATCATGTTCTCTTCAAAATTGACCATAATCTATTATTACAAAAGTCAAAAATTTTCTTATGAAGGCCTTTATTGCCTTGTTTTGCTCACTCCTTCTGAAATATTCTTACAGACGACATGGAAAGGACAACTACTTCAGTTGCACATATGTTCTTCCTGATGGTGTCACACACACAAAGGGTTTTGTAAAAGATCCAAGTGAGGCAAATGGATACCTTGCTTTTACAGATGGAGTCCTACCTCCGCAACCTGAAAGAAAAGAGGACATGGATCAGCTAGAAGTTAGAGAAAAGCCCGAGGACAGAAGAAAAATTGATTTAACACAAACTGTACTATACATTTTCCCTTGAGAAAGTAGTCCATGCCAAAGACTCCACATCTAAATGTTTTACCTTCTGAACAGGAGTTTACTTTGACAAATGAGCGCTTCCTTGTCCCAGAGATGATCTTTCGTCCTGCTGATTTGGGTCGGTATAACATTTTATATTATGAGGTTTTCAAGTTTTTTGTTACCCCAAAAAAATAACAAAAAATCTTTGTTTAATTTGCGTACAAGATTCAGTGATTGATTATTGATATATTCTCATTCTTTTTCCTTATTTACAACCAGCAGTGTCATTGACTTGTGGACATTTTGCAGGAATGAATCAGGCTGGACTAGCAGAGTGCATTGTTAAAGCTGTCAATTCCTGCCATCCTCATCTTCACCCTGTGCTCTATGAAAGGTATTACTGGGAATCCATTTTTTACTAGTGAAAATTTGTCATGTGGTTGCTTGTTGGTATGCATGTCTGGTTCGTAGCACTAACCTGTTTTTCAAATTTGTGTTTGGGCAGCATTATATTGACTGGTGGAAGCACACTTTTTCCTCGATTTGCTGAAAGATTGTAAGATTTCAATTTTTTGCCACTGCTTTGAAATATTTTTGTAATGGATAATTTGGAATTCACCACAAATTATTTTGTTCCACTATAGAGAAAGGGATCTCCGACCTCTTGTACCCGATATATACCAAGTGAAGATAACTACTCAAGAAGAGTAAGCCCTTATGTACTTGAAAAACTGTTTCCTAAAACATATTGCTACTTCCAGATTGGTAACACTTTCTTGTCTGGACAGTCCTATTTTAGGTGTTTGGCGCGGGGGTTCACTTTTGGCATCTAGTCCTGATTTTGAAGCAATGTGTGTGACTAAGACCGAGTATGAGGAGCTGGGGTCTGCTCGATGTCGCAAGCGATTCTTTCACTAGTATATAAGAACCTAGAAGGTAAGGTGTAAAATACTCTGTCCTCTGTCTTGTATTCAGTATCATTTCATTTTGACCACATCGAAAATTTCAAATTTCATTGCCAACCGTACATATATTGAAAATTACAAGAATGCGAATTCACAATTTAATGTCTCCTGCAGTTTCTTGGATGAGTATGCTTTGTCATGTCACTTGGTCATAATACTTTTGAAACGAAGGAAAGGTCGAAGCAGGTTTGGATTGTTTCGTGAAGATGAAACACCTAATTACTTCAGTCTTCAAAACATGAAATTCTTCGTTTTGGCTTCTGGGATGTTCTGTCAACCTGAACTTACGATGGAATGATCTGAGCTTCTATACATTTGGTGTAAAGCAAGACAATCTACTCATTTTGCTGAAATTTCGATCCAGCCATACTTTTGTGGGAAAAGAGAAAATCAGAAGAACTGAGCTTGCTTGTTATATGGGATCCGATGCATCCAAAAGAGTGAAACAGTGGCAAGCCATTCAAGGGTATCCAAGCAAGGAAATAAGCAAAGACAGTAGCTCTGTAAATTCTTTGGTCAGTATCAAGTGTATATTGAGGAAGTATTAACTAAGCTTACCTTACATGGGAACGTGTTTCAAGCTGTCATCAACCTTGAAGATGAGAGAATGACAACTCCTGGGGCCATTGCAATATGCTATTTGGGTTATAGCTACACTGACATGTGGCATAAAGTATCAAGTAATTTGATTTGTCATGTCAATTTTGTAGCACTTAATTAAATTCACACACTATTGTTAAGCATTCGAATTGTGTGATTCTTAGCTGTGCCAACGGCATTGCAATTACGGAGATGGGTATAATTTGTTATTTTATAACAAAGACTTCTAGCAGATGAGAAGTTTGCAAATATATGCTAGCTTGAAAACTATCACATCCTGCTGTTCAGCTTTTCAAAAATAAAAGGGAAATTTGGGAGCCGGTCTTTCTATATGGACTTATTTGGACTTAAGTTCGTCAAAGAAATTTATTTGTTATGCAGTTCGTTTTTTTGTCAATTTTATCAGACTATTCCTTCTCATTAGAAGTGAAGTAAAATTAAAAATTAAAAATTCTTAAATTTTAAGAGTTTGACTTACATTAAATTTTTTTTATATGTATTTATATTCATATATAAATTAGGATTATATATATATATATATAGTAACATTAAAAATAAAAAATGGTAATATTTAAATAAAAAAAAAGTAGCATTTAAACACAATAAAATAGTAACATTTAATATTAATATTTTAAAAATATAATAATAGTAATATGTTTAACAAAAATAATAACATGTTTAATAAAAACAGTAACATATTTAACAAAAAACAGTAACATGCTTAACAAAAAAAAATAACAATATAGAACATTGAACAAAATTGAAAATAAAAATAGTAGCATTCGAACCAATAACCAGAGGAAGAAGTCTCCAATTCTTCAGTATCCAAAAAAGTAACAATTAAAAAGTAATAACATGTTCAATAAAAAATAGTAACATGAAAAAAACATAGTAGTATGATCAATTAGAAAAAATAATAACATAGTCAACAAAAAACGTAGTAACATAAAATATTAAAACAATTTGGGGATTATTTATAAAAAAAAAATAAAAATAAAATTGGAAATCAAACTAATAACACATTGAGCAAAATTTCAACCTTTTTTTTTTCGAAAACCAACGACATAGAAATTCATGATGACCAGAACACAGTAGAAGGTATGGTAGTTGTCGATAATGTTTCAAACCCTACTGATTTTGATACTATGGAGGAAGAAATGATAACTAAGAAAAAATATTTGTTGTATTGGAGTGATAGTCTTTTCAAACGAGAGAGAGAGAGAGAGAGAGAGAGAGGGGGGAAATATATATATATATATATAAATATATAATTTCAATTTTAATTTAGGAGTGAATTGAGGGATAATAATTTATAATTTAAAAAATTAATTTAAAGTTACTTTTAAGGTCTTTACGATTTCTATAATTGAATATAATAACACTGTTAAATGTATTTTGAAATTTTAAAAGATTTCTATAATTGAACATAATAACACTGTTAAAGGTATTTTTGAAATTTTAAAAAATAGTGGACTTAAGTACTTATTAGTAAAATAAAAAATAAATTTATCATCAAATAAGTTTTCTTAACGGATTTAAATCATTATAAATCTATCAAGGAGGACTCAGCCTCAATATCCACAAAATAAAACTACCCAGGCCCACAACTGTTGCCCTTCGATGGACAGCCCAAGCTGCTCCAGCAATGAGAGCAGGTTGTCACTTGTCTACTGAGGGACAAATAAAGAATGATTTCACGGGGGACCTTCTCGAGTGATCCTGAAAAGGGAAATCGGACTATTTAATTATAGCAAAGCATTATGATGGTGCTAATGCGATACCCGAGTCTTTTTCTTTTTTCACCGGCAAAAAAGAGTAGAAGGGAACAATTTACAAAGAATTGTGGACAAATGATGACCATAATAGAATTAGCTCATGCCCGTTGGGAACCAACG